TCCTTTCTGTTTTCTGAGATCCTTTGTTCAATTTCATTTCTGTAGTTCTGTATCTGCCTCCTTATGTTTTAATAATTATTTTGCCTCCCTGAAGAGAAGCTGTTCAGTCATTTCCATATGTCATTCAAGGTGAAGTCCAGGCTCAGAAATCTAAATTATTTCTTGTTTTATCTGTGACAAAATAAGATTCATATTATTTAAAAGAACCTTTCAAAAATAAAAATAAAAGAACATTTCTCTTAACTTATGATGAATGTCCCTTTGACAATGACTTCATATTTATCACTGCAGTAGAGTTTAAGGAGGAATGGTCAAGAATAATGTTCCTGTGCTGGCCAGGTAGCTCAATTGGTTAAAGTGTTGTCCCAATACATCAAGGTTGCAAGTTCAATCCCCAGTCAGGGCGCATACAGGAGACAACTGATCAATGTTTCTCTGTACATCAATGTTTCTTTCCCTCTCTCTCCCCCTTCCTCTCTCTCTAAAATCAATAAACATATCACCAGGTGAGGATAAAAAAAAATAATGTTCCTTTATAACTGCAATAAATATTCCTTTTAAAAAATATATATAATGTTGCTTTATAAACTCCAAAAGAGCACAGAGTACCATATATTTCATATATCTTTGTACACTGTGTGGTATTTAATCTTAGTTCTACATAATAAATATTACTGCTTAAATGAATGAAATAACTAATTCACTAATGAATCCTTGTAACTATCCACAGAAGATGGTAGAGTTTCTTTCACACATGTCACAAGAAAAATGCATGTGATGCCCCTTTTCAGCCAAAGAATAAGTCATTCAATATGATGTGAAGTCATCTAGGTCTCACCACACCTCTCCTGTGTGGGTACCAACACATTGGACTGAAGCCCTTTGTTCCCTGTGGAAAGTCTGCCACCTCTGCATACTTGTCCTCAGGAATGTCGTTCTAGAAATAAACCAGCCTTCTCCCTGGGGTTCATGAGTCATACACAGAAGTTAATTCATTGGAGCAACTGGCTTTTCTTAGGCTCTTTGTAAAAGTATTTCAGAGAGCCCCTCATGGTCAGGAAAGAAAAAAAAACAAAGTTCTTTCCAGCTCCTGCCTCATTTCCTCCACCACCTTATATTTGGCTTTTACTGACAACCTTTACCTGCAGACCCAGATCCCAGTTCCTGAGCTAGTGTTGCCTGAAACAGGAAGTAGACTAGCAGAGCCTCCTCACCCACCCACCTGGCTCCATTCATTCATATTTGGTATCAAATCATACTCCACCATCTCTGTCTTCTGGGCTGCTAATCACACTTGTGAGATACAGCACACCAATGACAAACTTGTATAATCTGTGTCAGAAGGTAGGGCCCAAGAGTTCATCTTTTTGTTGTTGTTGTTTTCATCCTTTTAAATTTTATTTTTATGAAAGAAGTAATAATTGAATACATTTTCACTATGAAACAACAACATAAAGCTGAAGTTCCCCCTTGTTAACTATTTAACTTACATTGCTGTATTATTTTACTGGTTTTTTTTCCAGAATGCATTTTAAATATAAGAAATACATGATTAAAATAAAATTCAAACAGTATAGAAATATGAATAGTAAAAAGAAATGTATTTCAGAACTGCCCCATTTCTACTCCTGTCCACTGTTAACAGTTTGATGGTAGCCATCCAGACCTTTGTAAAATACATTTACATACACATGTATGTATTTAGGCCATTAGTTTTATTTTTATATAAATGGGCTCATACTGTACATCTGTTCTACAACTTTTTTTACTCACTTACTACCTCATAGCTTTCCATGTCAGCACATTTAGCTTTACTTTGTTTGTTAACAGCTGCGTAATACTCCATAGTTTGATTGTGCCATAATTTATTTAAATATTCCCATATTGGTGGGCATTTGAATTGCTTCCTGTTTAGGTTTTGATTATTGGTTATTATAACAATACTGTGCTGAACATCTCTGCATATGTCTCTTTGTGTGCTATCCAAGAATGTCTATAGGCTAGATATCTAGAGGTAGAATTGATGGGTCAGAAAATGGTGCATTTAAAATGTTATATTTTTCAAATTTTACAATTGAAGAGTTAAACACTTTCACTACTCTTTCCCTTTATTCTGCAGAAAGCTCTTTCCTGGGAACTGACATTGACCTTCAGACTATAGACAATGATGTTGTCAGCATGGAGGTTTTCTTCAAAGCCTGGCTACATAACAGTGGAACAGACCAAGAACATATTCATCTTCTTCTTCCTTCACAGTCTTTCAGCAACATTTCCAGAGCCAGAGATAAGCCAAGTATACACTCCTAAGAAAACATACTATATAAGCTATGATTATCCTAGTCTAGGATTAGTACTCAAGATTGATGAGTCATCAGAATACAGAGTCCTTGAGGTTTAGGGATTAGAGGAGGATTTGGATGAAGTTGTCCAGTATAAGCAGGCAGAGTAGGAAAATTTCTAAAAAGTGACCGATTAGAAAACTGAATGTAATTAAGCCCAGATAGCAAGGGACTGCTAGTTTAGAGGCAAAGACTTAGACATCTCAATAACAGGACAGCAGCTATGTTGCATAAGAGCACAGTAAATCATGTATTTCTCAAGTTTTTTCTTATTAATGAGATAGATATTCATGACACTATAATTTGAGGCATGCTGGCACCTCAACAATATCAACAGGGCCTGTGAGTAGAGAAAAAGAACCAAGACTAAACCAATATTACACAGAGGTATTCTGGCCATGGCCGATGTGGTTCAGTTGGTTGAGCATTGTCCCATGCACCAAAGGGTCGCTGGTTCGATTCCAGGTCAGGGTGCATACCCAGATTGAGAGATCGATCCCTCCCTGGTCAGGGGTTAGGTGGTACAAGAGGCAGTCGATCTCTCTCTCTCTCTCTCTCTCTCTCTCTCTCTCTCTCTCTTTCTCTCTCTCTCCCCCCACCATTCCCTTCCTCTCTAAAAAAACCAAATTTTAAAAACCATATAAATAGAGGTCTTCTGGATAGGAAGACATCAAAAGCAACTACCAAGGCAGGCCCCAGAGAGGATATCTAGAGGCCCAAGACCATTTCACAAAGTACATTCTGGCAATGAAAAACAAGAGATCAGTCAGTGTTTTGAACATGCCAACATGGCCCTGGATATTGTTCTGTCTGGTAGGGATACTTCATTCCAGGTCCCAGTAGATGATAGGGGTAAGGCCATTTCTAGTCTCCATCCCCTTTAAAGATTGGCTCAGGACCCAGGGTGACAAGGGCCTGCAAATGGGCCCATCAGTACAGTCAGCCACACTCAGTTTGGAAAAGCTGACTCCTTAAGGTCCCGCTTCAAAGGGAGAGGACCAAGGTGTGTCTTTGGGAGTTGTTCAAAATGGGTTCAGACTCCTGGCCCCAAAGGGAAAGATATACCAAGTCTATCTACTTCCAGAGCTGGGACATGTCCTTATTACTCAGCTTGCCTCGTGCTGGGTAATTCTAAACAAAGAGGCTAGAGATTCACTTTTCTTATTAAGGAGAGAAGGGAGCTCAAAGGCCAGGAACTCTTGAAACCAGCCTTTCTTTTAATGTTGCACAGCATTTGCTCATGGTACCATTGAGAACTTCTCTATTTTGCCCTCTCTCTTTCCATGACTTTCAGCACCATGATCAGAGCCCGAATGTTTGTCTTCATCTACAACCATTTTTCAGCAATCCATAGATCCTCATGGTGCATGGTAGAATTTAGATCCAGACTCATCAGCTCTTCTGCTGGGGAGGACTTCACTGGCATCCAGATGCTCAGACATAGTTGGAATGAGGTCTGGGGAAAGTAGACCTAATCAGTGTTAGGTATGACCCACCTAAGAGTTTATGCAACCACAATAAAGACCAGACTGTAGTTACCCATTATTTAAAAAACTAATGCATTGCCACACACGTGGATTTCTACATATGTGGCTCATTACCAAAAAAAATGAAACAAAACAAAACCCTGAGCTCTCCTACAACAGAATCTTTTGAGGACTGCCCCTAAGATGTTCACTTTGATTCCTCCTTAGAAAGTTCTCCTTCTTTAAGGGCTCCACCTCATACCACCTTCTTCTGTAGCTGCCTATGGCCCTTCACCCCACTATAGATGCTTCCCTCAGAGGCCTCCTTGTGATGGACAGAGTGCACAATCAGTTTCGGATGAGTGCCTTTCCTCATTCCTTGGATTTGGAGTCTGCCACCTCGGCACCTAGGTTCTGTGTGGTGAGAAGCGTGCCTTGGTCTAAGACAGCGCGGGCAAACTACGGCCCGCGGGCCGGATCTGGCCCGTTTGAAATAAATAAGACTAAAAAAAAAAAAAAAAAAAGACCGTACCCTTTTATGTAATGATGTTTACTTTGAATTTATATTAGTTCACACAAACACTCCATCCATGCTTTTGTTCCGGCCCTCCGGTCCAGTTTAAGAACCCATTGTGGCCCTCGAGTCAAAAAGTTTGCCCACCCCTGGTCTAAGACCTACTAAAACAACTTTGAAAACACTGCTAAGACTACTGTTCCCATAGTTCTCAGCACTGACTGCATTAAAAAGCACGTGAAGAACTTTTCTTAAATACCAACAGCTGAGCTTGATCCCCAGAGATTCCCATTTGACTGGCGTGAAATAGAGTTCGGTATCTTTTAAAAGTTCCCTGGGTGATTTTTAATTCCATCAGAATTGAAAACCTCAGCCAGTTTAATACACCTGTCCAATCCTAAAACCCAGGGGCCCAACAATGAAGTCAGGCACACAGAAATGAGGGGAAGCTGGAGTCCTAGGCAAACTCCCTCCTACTGACTTCTTGGACTCTGGGACACACCAGAGGCGCCTCACCCAAAATTAATGCCTAGGTCTGATTGCTGACCCCAGGAGGGCCAGCTGGACCTGACATCTATTCTATCATCCTATTTTTTTCTACCTTATTTCTACTTTTGTTTTTACCTCATATTGCAGTCAGTACAGTTACAACATCAACTACTAGCCTTCTCACAAGGACTCCACATTTGTATATTCATAGCTTTGTTAACAGTATTCAAACCTGGTATAAAGTGTATTGAAAACCTTTGTAATATCAAGGATCCAAGCTTAGTGCAACAGAACATTGCACACTCACTGTGGCATGTAAGCACACCTGCTAGAGCAGAAGCTTAATGCAGATGAGCATAAGACCTTGATGAATAATAACTCATACCTAGTTGAGGCCCCCTCAGAATTGTGATCTAATGCCTCAGTAATGCTCCAAGGCTCAGAAGGTTCTATACTTTAGTTTCTTTGGGGAATTTAACAGTAAACTATTTCAGGAACTTATTCTTTCCCTGGTGTCAAATGCCCCTAGAAGAGCCCACAGAGGAACAGTGGCTGTCAGCTGACTGCCTGACTTCTGCTTTCCTGCTCTGCTTTCATCTGACCTGTAATCTTGCCAAAGTTTAGCCACAGGGAAGCAGCAGAGGCAACGTTTCCGTGTGTGGTTGCCAAAGGGTCTCTGCATACTGTAGTGTTAGCTGCCTCCTCCCCAAAGGACACACGTTCCTCTCAGACTGGATCACAAGCCAGATTTCTCACTATGAGGCACAGCTCAGCCAACCCAGATGTAAAACAAGTAAAAATCATGTCAGACCCAGAAAATGCTACCTATTGTGTAGTGCAATACTGTAGGCTCCAGACCTGCTCTGCCTTCCCAAACCAACCTCTCTTCTCTCCTGCCTTCCACTCTCCTGCCTTCTCCCAATTCTTACTTAGCTAATGGAGGTGGAATGGGTGGCAGATGTTATCACATAGCCTGAGGTAACTTGTGACAAGCATCCTTCCCCCAATGCCTTTTTATTTCTTTTTCTTTTTTTCTATAGTGTGCCTGAAATGTGATCTCCAAGAGCGGCTTCTCAGCCCATCCCTACTGCCTGGCACAGCTGATGGCTCCCTGAAAATGGATGACCCCAAAGGAGACTTCAGCACACTCTACCAGATGGCTTCCCAGTCATCGGCCTCTTATTACAAGCTCCGGGTGATCAAGTATGGGTCATGGGAACCTCCCCAATCCATGCAAAGGCTGATTCTATGGGTTCCATGGCTAGAAAGTCCAGAGATAGAGGACATCCCCAAGTTGTAGGCAGGCGGGAGTCAGGTCCAAAGCAGCAACTAAGGTGTGAGCATGAAAGCGCAGTCAAGCTGCTCCGCACATGGAGACAAATGAGCAGATGATGGAGATGTGCCTCAGTAGGACACTCTGAGGTCTGGATGAGGATTGGAAATCCAGAAAGTCTCTGAATGCAGGGCAAGACAAGGTCAGCAGAAAATGTTTATTGAGTACATATTGTGTTTAGGCACCAGGACAGAGATATGACCTTCAAAGGGCAAGGGGCACGTAGGATCTTCCCCGCCCTCCCACCGCCCCCCCACTCCACCCCATTTCTCTAAGTCAGCGACTTTCAACCTTTTTCACCTCATGGCACACATAAATGAATTACTAAAATTCTGTGGCACACCAAAAAATATATTACTTTTTGCCAATTTGACAAAAAAAAGATATAATTTTGATTCATTCACACTGAACAGCTATGTGAATGAATCAAATGGCTGTTATCATTTTTTATTTGATAATCTAAGGGAAAAGAGGTCAGTACTGACTAAATAGTCAGGTATTTCATGTTTTAAAAATACTTGCAGCACACCGGTTGGAATTCGCTGCTCTAAGTACTAGAATTCCTGCTTCCAGGGGAACCAAGTCCAAGGCGGAGTTAACAATGATGGCAAAGGCCACTTTTATTGCTTCCTAGTTTCTATCACAGTGCCCATGCACAGGTATCTGAGTAAGCTCGTCCATAGGTTTGTGACCATGGATGTTGCTAGGAGCCTTTTAAAATTCATGCTCTTCTTAGATGCATCCTCTGTCACCACAAAAGAGCCAGGACTGGGGAGCAGATGGTATAATCATATTGTGTTATACGGTTGCTGTAACAGCGGAATTATGGAAGTGTCTCCAGGGATGTTACTTAGAATGGAATGAGCTCAGGAGAAGAAATAGCCAACAGTGTCTGGAGCCTTCATGATGGCTGCTTCATTCATTGATTAACAGGCTTTTAGAATGTGCTATGTGCCAGATACCTTGCTAGGCACTGGCCATACGTAGATGAATAATTTATAGTCCCTAACTTAAAGGATTTCACAATAGGGCCTTAGACTTACTGAATTTGAGTGGATCTGGGTCGAGGTTCTTATTATCACTGAGGAGACTTTCACTGCCATTATCTCTTCCCAGGGCTTTAAAATCCAGTGGGATGTGCGAGTCAGTGACGTATGGTCTCCCATTCATCCTCAGACCCACAAGCTGTTGGCAGCTGGACTGGGATGAGCTGGAGACAAATCAGCAGCATTTCCATGCTTTGTGTCACAGCCTGCTGGTGAGTGTTTTGTGTTCCCAGGTGAAGAAGAAGAAGAATGTTAAAGTACCAACCATAGAAGAGCCCTTAGCTTAATCCTGCCCTGATCCCAGACCTGTCCCAATCTTCAAGAGGACAGGAGAAAACTAGAAATACTCTGAAATGTGGGTTAAGTATGACTTGCCTCTGTTGGTTTTATGTTGTAGAGAATAATACCTGAATTCAGTTTTATGATATTAAATTTACAAGACCCTGATTTTTTTACATTTAAATGGCAGCAGGGATTTTCCTAAGTAACTATACAGTATTTTAAAACCTATTTTCTTCCTCACACTGTGCTGGACACTATGGTTCATTTAAAAGAAGAGCACCTAGTCTGTGCCAGACATTGTACTAAGCCCTAGATATTTAATGGTTAACATAATAGACATTATCTTGGCTTCAAGAAATTTACTCTCTAATGGAAGAGACAATTGAACATATATATTCTTAATTGTGAAACGTTTATGAAGGAGAAGAAGTAACTGCTATCAGAGAGCGTCTCTGTGAAAGTGACACTTAACCCTACCAGACCGCTGTACCGATTTTTCGGTAATTTCCACACAAAGGTGGAATATTGGCGCTAGATGAAAGGTAGACCTATTTTCTACAATGTCTCCAAGTTCCATCTTATTCTAACCACTTGTTTGCATGTAACTAACATTTTTCTATATCATGTTGATTTTTTCTATTTAATGCTCAGGAGCCCAGGTATAGGGGACAGTTAGGTTCAGGGCCTCAGGTCTGGTAGGATTAAACTGAGACCTACCAGATAAATGGTAATGAGCCAGGTGAGGGGTGGTAGGAAGAGCACTGCAAGTGCTGGGAAAGGGATGTGCAAAGAACCCAAGCCTAGAAAGAGCTGAGAGAATAATCTATAATAATATAAGGGTAATATGCTATTTAAACCAGACAGCTGAATGAC